CAGTGCAGGCCTGGGCAGGAAGCTGCCATGTAGAGAGAAGAGGTGGGTCCCTGGCCTTGGGAAAGCCACAAGGGCAGGGAGAGCCGGATGAGCAAACAGGATGACAATTTCTGGTTGGGGTGAGTCCCAGAACAGGTTCCTGACCCAGGGGAGGGGATATTCAATCTGCTGCAGAGAGCTGAGAACAATGAGCCCTCAGCCTTGGGGTGGGAAAACTGACATGGTTTAGGTCTGCATACATTGTTTCCTTCTGCCCTCACTCTGGGGGAGGTTATCTCCATTTCCCTAAGGGGCCAGAGGCTCAGTAATTTCCCAAGGTCTAGAGCCAGGTTCCCACCACAGCCTGAGTGCAGGAGAGTGTGTGCTGGCAGCCGGCAGGCAGGGGTGAGTGGGAGCCTATTGCACTTAGGGACAGGGGCTAAAGGACAATGGTGGGCCTTAAGGCTGACAGAAGGGGCCAAGTGGGCCAGCTGTGGCTTCCTCCTGAAAAAGCTGATGTGAGCAAATCTGCATCCAGGTTTGAATGGGGAATATCCTGGGCTCACAGTGCTGGCTGTGTCCAGTCCCAAGCCAGTCCCTCATAGCCCATTCAACAAGGGCATCCCATCCCTTGATGCTGGGGCCTAGGGAGACATCCTGACCTAAGCCTGGGACTGGGAGCAGGCCCAAGGGTCACCAAGAATGACCCAGGGATCCAGCACTGTCACATGGTCTGTGTGTAGAGGCATGAGGCCAAGGCTTCATCTCCTGGAGACCAGAACTTTCCTGGAGCAGTGGCCCTCCTGGCCTGGGCTCTCTCCCTGCTCAGAGCAGGAAGAGCCAAGCTGAGCCTGGCAGCTCTGCTGAGAATTTGAAGGACTTTGCAGATGGAATGAAGGGCACTAATAGGTAGCCTTAAGATAGAGATGATTCTGGACTACCTGGGTGGGCCCACTGTTATTCTAGGAGGCTTTAAAAGGGGAGAGAAGAGAGAAACAGCAGGGCACAAAGACTCCACAATCAGGAAACAGAAGGAATCTGACTCTTCTCAGATTCTGAGAAGGAATCTGGCTCGCAGCAGGTGAGAGGGACCTCAGTTCTATCACTCCACGGGACTGGATTCTGTCAACACAGTTCTCAGAACCAAAGCCACCACCAGGGTGCTAACACCTACATTTTGGCCCCATAAGCCATGCAGAGCTCCATCTGGGCTCAGACCTCTGACTCTCAGAGCCTGGGAAACAATCCGGGGTTCTGTTTTAAGCCACTAAGTGTGCAGCAACTTGTTACTGCAGTCATTAGAACTAATAAGTCACGTGTCACGTGTGAGCTAGCCAAAGAACCATTACTGGGCCAGGGAGTGGACGGCCAGCCCAGGAAGCAGCAGTGAGAAGTCATCAGTATGAGTAGTCACCCTCATTCTTCCAACCAACAGTTCTCAGCTATTCACTAGGACAAGGACCAGCAGAGTGTGGGAGCTCAGATTTCATGGAGGCACAGATGATCAAGCAAACCCCAACCTGGGAGTCTTGTGACAGATCAGAGATCCTGAGGCTGGGGAGGTCAGGGAAGGGGCACTGGCCCACTGGGAGTGGAGAAGGCTTCCCAGGACTTGAAGGCCTGTCTTGGGGCTTGGTGGTCCAAGAAGGACCACCTGGGGTGGGTCACCCCAGGGAGAAGAGCAGGGCCATGGGACAGGGAGATTGTGTATGGCACATTCACAGGACTGGCAATTTGCAGACTGGCCCAGCTGACATACAGACCACAAGAAACGGCACTGGTCAGAAAGTGGGCCAGGAGAGCTCAGGAGGCTTCAGTCAGACAGGGAGTAGGGACTAAGGGTGCCAAGCAGGGTAGAGCTGCAGGGACAGGGATACATCTCAGGACTTTCCCATCCTTCAGTGACCCTCAGGCCATGCCAGTCACTGCCCGCTGGGTCCAACCGTCCCTAGTCCTCATGCACCTGCCTAGGGGAAGGCAGGGGTGTGCTGGTGGCCTGGAACACACCATCCACCTACCCCTCTGTAAAGGGAGGAGTTTACACTTGGTTTTGTGTGCCAGACTAGAAGCGGCTGTGCCATTCAGCACCTGGCACATGTAACTTAAGGGTAAATAAAGACAAGGGCAGGTCCCTGAGAGACTGACCACACCAGAAGTGAGTCCAAGGTACAGAGTAGGGGGTCCAGGCCTGCCAGTCCAGAAATGCCAGCCAGGGGATGAGGATCAGACAGCATCTGGTGCACTTATCCTAAATGCAGAGCTCTACAGAGATGGAAAATGACTCCAAACTCCTGTCTTTGCCACAAGCTGGCAGCAGAGGCCCTGAAATCACCTGGGTACAGAGACTAGGGAGGATTTCCAACTGTTGTAACAGGATCCAGAGGACAAGGCCATCACTTCCTTGGGTGCTGCCAACAGACCCCTCCCCTCCATAAACTCTGCTTCCCCAAATGTGGTAATGATCATTTGCCTTTCTCTAAATGCAAAGTTATGTGTACTGATTCATCTTATCCTCAAAACAATCCTATGTGCTTTTATCAGCCCATTTGACAGAAGTTGGACTGACAGGAGAGGGGGTGTGAACTTTAAAAAAAATTGCTTTAGCCTATATTACCTTCTTGAAAGGTAAAAGTGTCAATAGGACAATATGCAAAACAGATTAGAGCAACTCTAGCTCTGGGGAGGGGTAAAAAGGCTGGCTGAGCTCTCCACTCCCAGGGCATCTTCAGAAACAAGGGGCTCTGAAGTCACCCAGAGCACTGGTGATGCTCACCCTGCTGGGAACTGCTCCCCCAGGGTGGCCCCATGTGGGAGACCCTTGAGGACTGGCACTGACCTCCACACTAGGCTTCATGTGCACCCTCTTGAAGTCCACCATGTCCAGATAAAGTGGGCTCCTCCATCTGGATCTCCACTTCCCTTTGGGAGGGCTGACAGCAGGGTTTTGAGGCTGCAAGAGAGCACCCTGCTTCTTTTCCAGAAGCTCTTCCTTGTTAGCCCACAGAGACCATGACTGCCTGTGTTCCTCAGACAGCCTCTCCCAGTCTCAGAGCCCAGGTTCAGGTTGGCACCCCACACCCACTTCAGGGGACCAGACTAGGTGAGGAAGTGGGGGTTGAACGGCAGGAAGGACAAGCAACCAAGGCTGTTGAACAAGGGAGCAGTGGAAAAGAGGAAGAATCCCCAGGGGCTGCCCAGTTGGTGAGAAAGAGGTGCTCCAAACTACAAACCCACTGCAGCTTTTTTTTTTATTTATATGTGCATACAATGTTTGGGTCATTTCTTCCCTCTTCCCCCCCACCCCCTCCTTTATCCCCCCCCCCGCCCCCTCCCTCTCACTACCAGGCAGAAACTATTTTGCCCTTATCTCTAATTTTGTTGAAGAGAAAGTATAAGCAATAACAGGAAGGACCAAGTGTTTTTGCTAGTTGAGATAAGGAAAGCTATACAGGGAGCTGACTCACTTTAATTTCCTGTGCATGTGTGTTACCTTCTAGGTTAATTCCTCTTGATCTAACCTTTTCTCTAGTTCCTGGTCTCCTTTTCCTATTGGCCTCAGTTGCTTTTAAGGTATCTGCTTTAGTTTCTCTGCATTGAGGGCATCAAATGCTATCTAGTTTTTTGGGTGTCTTACCTATCCTCACAACTCCCTTGTGTGCTCCCGCTTTATCATGTGATCAAAGTCCAATCCCCTAGTTGTGTTTACCCTTGATCTAATGTCCGCATATGAGAGAGAACATACGATTTTTGGTCTTTTGGGCCAGGTTAACCTCATTCAGAATTATGTTCTCCAGTTCCATCCATTTACCTGCGAATAACATCTTGTTCTTCTTTGTGGCTGCATAAAATTCCACTGTGTATAGATACCACATTTTCTTAATCCATTCGTCAGTGGTGGGGCATCTTGGCTGTTTCCATAACTTGGCTATTGTGAATAGTGCCGCAATAAACATGGGTGTGCAGGTGCCTCTGGAGTAACCTGTGTCACAGTCTTTTGGGTATATCCCCAAGAGTGGTATTGCTGGATCAAATGGTAGATCAGTATTTAGCTTTTTAAGTAGCCTCCAAATTTTTTTCCAAAGTGGTTGTACTAGTTTACATTCCCACCAGCAGTGTAGGAGGGTTCCTTTTTTGCCACCCCCAATCCTCTCCAACACCTGTTGCTAGTGGTGTTGCTAATGATGTCCATTCTAACAGGGGTGAGGTGGAATCTTAGTCCCACTGCAGCTTTGCTGGCCCCTAGTGACCGGTCCCCTGCCCCTAGTTTAACAGACCGGGAAACTGAGGCCCAGAGAGAGGGAGATGAATTTGCTTAGACTTCTCAGCTGCTGGGTGGCAGGACCTGGACTAGAACCCAAATTTCTTGACACAAGACCTCTGCTCCACTGTATCATTTCCCCAGCATTGTTCTTAAGTCCAGATTCTGCAGCTAACCTGGGTGTGACCTGGAGCAGGAAGAACCTCTCACAGGGTACAACTGCCTCACCTGCACCCGCCGGAGGTTGCTTCCAGCCCTGTGGGGCTTAACGCCCTCCCGCACCTGTCCTCCATTTCTGGGGTGAAGAGGGGCAGATATGAAACACTGCTACCTCACAACCCGAGAACTGTCCTGTCGGGGAGTTCTGCCCTTGGGGACCACCCTATCTTCTGCAACGACTGCACAGGCGGGCCGCCGTCCCCGGCCCATGGTCAAACGTACCGCCTCCCTCGTGCCCACGTCCACAGCGCCCAGCGCAGGCCGCTCACGCGTGCACACCGTCCCGGGCAGTCAGTTATCGGTACTCGCTCCCGCCCACACTGGTCCGTGCTCGCGCACTAGATGCCCGCCGTTCCCCGCTTGCTCGCGCGCCCGCAATGAAGCCTCACTGCGGACACTTGGCCCGCACCACTGAAGCTCGGAGAGCGGCAGCGAGAGGCCGGCGGGGGCGGGGCACACCCGCCCCTTCTCCCCAGGCCCGGTCCAGCACTGGCTCCGCCCCCGAGCCAGGAGGATGTGAGCTGAGTCCCGCCTCCCCGTTCCGGCCACCGCCAGGAAGCGTCCGCTTGAGTTCGTAGCCCGCTCGCCGCCAACGGGCTGGCAGGCCGAGGAGTCGGCGGCAGGCCTCGCGCTGCAGGTGCTTCCCTAATGGGTGCGGAATGAAGGTGGGCGGCGCAGGTACCCATCCAGGCGGCGGCGGCGGCGGCGGCGGCGACGGGGACGAGACTGCGCCCCGCTTGTAGGCGCCGGGCCGCGCACGCCGTGCCCCGGTGCGCTGCTGGCCGGGCCACGTGACCGCGCGCGCACGTGTCCCGGCCTCTGGGCACCGCGGCGCGGCGCTTCCTCCCGGCTTGGCCACCGATGTCCGCCTAGAGCCCGCGCACGCCGCGCCCGGGAGGCGGCGGAGACGAGGGCGCTAAGCCGCGTGAGCGGCAGGCTCTCTCAGGTCCGCCATGAACCCCAGGGACCTGTTCCAGGACTTCAACCCCAGTAAGTTCCTCATCTACGCCTGCCTGCTGCTCTTCTCCGTGCTGCTGCCCCTGCGCCTGGACCGCGTCATCCAGTGGAGCTACTGGGCTGTCTTCACCCCCATATGGCTGTGGAAGCTCCTGGTCATCGCGGGCGCCTCGGTAGGCGCGGGCGTTTGGGCCCGCAACCCCCGCTACCGCACCGAGGGGGAGGCCTGCGTGGAGTTCAAAGCCATGCTGATCGCCGTGGGCATCCACCTGCTACTGCTTATGTTCGAAGTCCTGGTCTGCGATAGGGTGGAGAGGGGGACCCACTTTTGGCTGCTGGTCTTCATGCCACTTTTCTTCGTTTCCCCGGTGTCCGTGGCCGCCTGTGTTTGGGGCTTCCGCCACGACAGGTCGCTGGAGCTGGAGATCTTATGCTCGGTTAACATCCTGCAGTTCATCTTCATCGCCCTGAGGCTGGACCGAATTATCCACTGGCCCTGGCTGGTGGTATTCGTGCCCTTGTGGATCCTCATGTCGTTCCTTTGCCTCGTTGTTCTCTATTACATCGTCTGGTCCTTCCTGTTCCTGCGGTCCCTGGACGTGGTTGCTGAACATCGAAGAACACACGTGACCATGGCCATTAGCTGGATAACGATTGTCGTGCCCCTCCTCACCTTCGAGGTCCTGCTCGTTCACAGATTGGATGGCCACAATGCCTTCTCTTACGTCTCCATATTCGTCCCTCTCTGGCTGTCCTTAATAACGCTGATGGCCACAACCTTTAGGCGGAAGGGAGGCAATCATTGGTGGTTTGGTATTCGCAGAGATTTCTGTCAGTTTCTGCTTGAAATTTTCCCATTTTTAAGAGAATATGGGAATATTTCTTACGATCTCCATCATGAAGATAGTGAAGACGCTGAAGAAACATCAGGCTCAGAAGCTCCAAAAATTGCTCCAATGTTTGGAAAGAAGGCCAGGGTGGTTATAACGCAGAGTCCTGGGAAATACGTTCCCCCACCTCCCAAGTTAAATATTGACATGCCAGACTAAACTCTTCCAGGCAGGGCCTCAGTGAAATAGAAACCATGTCCGCACACAGACTCCACCTTGCTAATGCCTCTGTCCATCCCAAATCTGGAACCTGGAAAGCAGGCTGTAGACCCTCATTTCATGCCTTGTGTCCAACTTGCTGTGTGTACCATAGACATGGAGGTTATTTTAATCTGTGTGTGTGTGTGTGTGTGTGAGAGAGAGAGAGAGAGAGAGAGAGAAAGAAAGACAGAGACAGAGAGACAGAGAACTTGCTTTCCAGGTTGGCATTTTAATAGCTAGCTGAGGGCAGTAAGTGCAACTGTTTTCAAAGGTCCTCAAAAAAAAAAAAAAAAATTACATAGCTGTTTGTTTTTTTATGTGCTACAATACCTGTCAAAAGTATTGTTTAAAAATATTTTTATACACTGCTAGTCTTAAAGTTGTATTTCAGATCGTGCTTGTTGTGACATAATGGCAAGTGTTCAGAATTCTCTTTCCAGCATTGGTTTCTGAACCTCACAGTAAAGTAGTTTTTCTTTGAGCTTTGCTGATACTGGTCTAATAGATGAACTTTTGTAATGGAGTGAATGTGTGCATACATAGTATTTATATGAATATTTTAGCAGTATATGTTGAAGTCTAGTTCTCTGCAGTACAATGTATTGTTATTTTTTTAAGTTTCTATGTGATGATATGTATCTATTGCAGATGTCCTTAAAGACTGCATAAAATGTTACTATGTACCTGGTGTGGGATCTTGTCAAAGTACAAGGCATGACTGTAGAAACTGAAAATCCTGTGGATCTGAGTATTCAGGTGTTCGGTGACAGAGGGCTGCAGTATTAAGGTCTCTCAGTAAGTGGAAGTAGAGGGGGAGCCAGCATCCTCTGGGATAGGTGGTGTGCTCCGTGGTACCAGGTCATAAAGTGACACTGTTGTCTGCTACCCTTTTTCCACACAGGTGGTAACATTTCTTGAAGAACAACCAAAATAAGCAATAAGTGGCTTATCCTTTTCTAAGGAGCTTGGATAGTTTGCCATAATGCAAAGTGTTACCTGCCACTTGGAAGCTGAAGAGGAGCCTTAACCAAAAATGACCAACAGGATGGGGTCTCATTTTAAGGTCCAACCTTTTTGGTTTGTCAGCAACAGGGGAACAAGAGTTCAAAATAATGGCAATGTTTCTTTAGGTGCTGGCAGCACATTAGGGAACCAGAAGGACAAATGCCAGAGCCTGAAAGAGTAATGTTCTAGCTGGGAACAAATAAATACTTGCAAAAGGAAGTAAAATAAAAAGGAGTACTGGTATTACTGGCAGGAATCCTTTTATCAGCAACTTATTAAAAATTACCTAAATTGGGCTGCACATATTCAGTATGTAACTGCACCCTTTACTCTGGCCACAAGGCAGATCTGTTGTATTTGAACAAAAAGATAAACCTAAATTCACTATTTTTGTGCCATTTAAAACATTTATAAACTCTGTGCACCTGCTAGTAACAACAAAAGCCAGTCCTGAGAGCCTGCAGGCTCGAGATGCCACAGCTCAGTTTCCTCAGCTGTGAGGACACAGTGGAGAACAATTCACTGTGGCCTGCCCTAAGAGTAGACAATGGAAAGTGTGAGCCATGCCTGCATGTGGCAAGGAGAGGAGAAGGCAGTATTCACGTGCCTGCCTGCAGGAAAGAGCAGGCTGACAGCTGGTGAGAAATAGCTGGAAGGTGCAGCTGGCATCAGCAGGAACTTCAGGCCCATCTTGGTTTTCAAGAGCTCAGTGCTACCCTCCATTACCCCATCCACCTCCAGGATGGTCCGAAAGCCATGAGCTTGTGCTCCAATAAGAGTTAAGAGCCAGGTGCTAATGGCTCACGTCTGTAATCTTAGCTACTCTGGAGGCAGAAATCAGGAGGATCACAGTTTGAAGCCAGCCTGGGCAAATAGTATGTGAGACCCTATCTCAAGAACACCCAACATATCTAACCAATGTACAATATAAGCCTATTTAGAGTTGTCACAATGAATTCCCCCTTGTACAATGAATATATCTTAATTTTTAAAAAAGTAAAAACAAAGAGAAAATCTCCAACACAAAACAGGGCTGGTGGAGTGGCTCAAGTGGTAAGAGTGCCTGCTTAGCAAGCATGAGGCCCTGAGTTCAAACCCCAGTACTGTCAAAAATTAAGTTATGGGTGGGGGAGCAGGTGTTGCTGGAGGAATTGGGAGGCAGGTTTGGGGGCTGCAGTTTCAGAGTTTTCTGGAACCCAGTACAACCCCTTACCCTTTATGAGTCCCTCCCTGTCCCCACCCAGCCTATCTTACCTCCTCCCCCCAAGGCAGCTGGTGAAAAGCCAATGCCTGAAGGGCAGAACAAACTTCACACAGGTAGGCTGTCCCCTGCCAGGTGTCTCTGGCCTCAAAACCATGTGTAAGAATAGTGTGAGTGACAGGTTGTGGGATAGCTGTTTGGTTTGTGATTTTGATAAAACAGCTGTGCCTGAGAGTTTGTGTAATTGCCACACAGTGACTCCACAGTTTAGCAACTGTCAATTCTGAAACAGGTTTCTCTTGCAAAATGATGTCTCAGTCAGCTTTTGCTGCTAGACAACCTCGAAAACCTGTTGTACAGTTATAAATTCTTACTCTCGGGTCTCCAAGTTGGGTTACAGTCCAGGCTGGGGTCTGTATTTGGGGTGTCTGGCTCAAGGAGCAGCATTTCCTGGGCCATGTTCCTCTCCCTCATGGCAGAAGCATAAGGAGGCCAGTCCAAACCCAGTGAGCACAGAGTTCCTGCTCACAGGACAGCGGTCTAGACCTCTCCTAGTGGCCACAGCGCACAGTCAAGCCTGTGACCTCTGGGGTGAGGCAGCACAAGTGACGGTCAGCCCATGGGTTTAAAATGTTACAAGGCCTTGCTAAAGAAATGACAAAACTTGTAGCAATTTCCCTCCCCTCTGTTTTACAGACATTCTGCAGGTCTTAACAAGCGTAGCCATCAGAATGTGTTGGGGACCTAAGGTGACATGAGGAAGACCCTGCATTCAGACTCCAGAGCACACAGTGGTGGTCCATGCAGGCCAATGTTGTGAAGGTGCTGGGGGTCCCAATGCTTCTTTGGATGGTCATGCTGAATATTTTGGGAAGGTCAAGGCTGAGTGAGACAGCAGCTGAGTAGGGGTGCTGGGAAATGGAGCAGCAGGGTGGCTGCCATTGCTGTACTCTCTCAGTTGCACTGGCTCAGAAAAGGAAGCTGTTGGAATACAGGAAGCTCAGACATCCAGGTGGGATGTCTACCTCCTAAAGCACACAGGGACCCATGAAGTTGCTCTACTGGGAGCCCTGTCAAGGGCATACCTCAGGGGCCATGTATTGAGGAGGCTGCAGCTGGTGCCACAGCCATTGGCTGCATGACACTGCCACCAAAAGAGACCACCAGTACCACCCCTGCTGCCATGAGTAATCCCCCAGCCATCTGCCATGAGTCCCAGCCAAAAGTACCAGGAGGAAGGATCCAATGGGCAAGCCTTTGGTGAAAGGAGGCTTCCTTAGCTACAGTGGAGGGAGGGACTGCCACAGCTCATTTAACAAAACATTTTCCCCAAAAGGAAGGGGGTTTGGAGGCCAAGTGACCAAAGACAGACATGAAGCACCTATACCCCACTCCGTGGCTATCTGGCATGCCCCTTCTTCCTAAGCTCACTCCTCAAAACTAAGGCTCCCATATAACATTACTCCTGTGCCCCACAAGGAAATAGTGTCTCATCCTTGAGACAATCCATTGCTGCTGCACCAGTTGCTTCCTCTGGGTCCTCTAGGTTATGTGGGGTGTGTCCTCTGTTTCTTACAGTTCTCAGTATATTTCCTGGGATGAATGGACAAAAGGCAACTGCCATAACATGCCCTCCATGGGCATGGGAGGGTCCTAAGTTCAAAGCCAGCTTATTTTTTGAGACCCTGTCTCAAGTAAGAATACAAGTGCTGGGGACATGGCTTAAATGGTAGAGCGCTTGCCTAGTATGCGTGAGGCCCTGGGTTCAATCCCCCTGTACCAAAAAACAAAAAAAGCCTCGGGGTCTTCCAAGTCCTGGCCCAACTACGCATGAGAGGAGGGGGAGCCAATTTTCTCTGGCCCAGCTACAAGAGTTTGTGAAACGCAAAAATAATGCCATTTTTCGCTACTACTTTTGTTTTGGAAAACATGATTGTTTTCCATTTTAAAAAATGTTCACATGTAATGGATTTATTCTTCTAAAATCAGTAAAATCCCAGCACTCAGGAAGCTGACACTTGAGGATCACAGTTTGAGACCAGCCTGGGCTACATAGCGAGACTCTTGTCTCAAAACAGAAACAAAATCTTTAAATAAGGAGTAAATACTTGTAAAGTTATTGGCTTTAATTTCTACCATGGCAAATGTTGATAGAACTCACAAACAAAAGCTCTGAGGGTCCTTTGAGCTCACAATCCTTTGTCACAACCTTCTGCATGCTGAACAGGCACGCATGACTTCCTTAATCATTTTTAAATTAAGAGTTTGTGTGGGGGTGGGGAGGGGGTTGGAGGTATGATTCCAAGCATGAAGCCCTGAATCCAAACCCCAGTATCACCGAGAAAAAAAAAAAGTATAAATTTAGAGTCCTGTGACCAAGTCTGAGAACTGCTACCTTATAGTAAAGAGAAAGGAGAGAATCAAGTGGGTGAAAAAATATTAAATTCTGTATGACATATCAGGAAAGGAAAAATATAAGCCATTGTCATTTCTGCAACAGATCACAGGGTGGCTTCTCTACTGGTCTCCACATTCCCCCATGTTAATTGGGTCACAACCTAGCCAGGTAACTCATGCATGTGTTCCTGGGGGCCCTGAACCCTTTGCTGGTCTCCCTGGCATCTGTCATTTAATCTTGTCACCAGCCATGAAGGTACTAGAGCAGCCTTGAGGATCCCCTGGACATTGGCCATAGCCAATGTGTGTGTGTTCTGTAGCAGCAACACCATTTCCCCTTGATAGTCTTTCAGAAGGGGACTGTCATTTTGGCTGGGGAAGCTGACCCTGACTCCCAGGGGGAAACAGGGTGGATGGTCACCCCTGAAGGTCACAGGCCACTTCTCTCTTACTCAAGGATGTTCTGTTTATAAAGCAGCTCCACTGCAGCCAGGGAGAGGGGAAGTGGGTTTTGAAATCTTTCTCCAGCATAGTGGCTCAAAGCTCTCTTGCTCCCCTCCCAGTTCCCCTGCCTGTGTGCTATCTTGTATTCATCACCTCCGCCCCACCCCACCCCAGGTGCCTGCAGTGGTGCCTGTGGCTGGGCCCTCGAAGCCAGGGCCACTTGCATTCATCTGGGAGTATCAGCAATACTCTGGTGCAGAATCTGGGACCACAGATTGCATCATGTCTCCTGGTGCCCGGAGATCCCTCGCATTCCCTCACAGGCTCTGTCACAGGGGACTCCCTGCTTTCCTCTCTCAGGCTTCCTCTCAGCCTGAGCAGCTCTCTACAGCTAAAACACAACTGGCCATTCATGGCGGATCCTTTGTGGCCACAGGATCCAGCAGGCTCTAACCAAGGGCAGGAGTAATGAGGGAAATTCACTCCCGAAACTCAGTAACCAGCAGCCAATAAGAACGTGGTTGGGCCCCTTCCTGTCTGCAGCAGCTGCCCCAGGCCACAGTGATTCTCAGCCAGGGTTCCCCCAGCAGAACTTCCACCACTTGCACCTCCCCCTACCCCTCTCCAGCATGTTTAGTGACAAGGCCTTGCTGTCTTGGACATCACTCAAGTCCCCTTCTTTCACTCAAGGACACCTGCCCTTCTCTGTTCCAGCTCAGCTCAGCCTCCCACCAAGTCCTCGCTCCCTGACCAGCTCCTTATCAGCTTGAATGGGACTGGATGGGACACTTGAGCCTAAGGACCAGGCTGAACTCTTCTCCATCCCAGAGGTACTTGCTGTGACTCACACAGGGGCTCTGAAAATGTCAGCCACACTCTCAAGAGCTGGGAGGAAAAGAACTACCACCAACCAAGCAGGGTCTGGAAGACAGCTGCCCTGACAAGCATTTGTGTGTGAGTGAGTGAGCCCAGAACAGAAATGGGTGTTACAGCACGAGCAGGCACAGGGCCATGAAGAAGAAGGACAGCATCGTTAATGACCTAAACATTTAGGAACATTGTAAGAAATCCAGGGGAGAGTGGAGAAGAAATGGGGGCCCTAGTTCAGCAGGGAAAACAAGCTTTCCATGTTTCCATTAGTCATCCCTGTCCTAACTGTCTGTGGTTATCTGCCCCAGGGTTGCCAGACACAGCTGCAGGTGTTGCCTACAGACAAGAGAGGGGACAGACAGCAGAGAGGAGCAGTCATTTCTAGTCATTTTTATCTGGGAGGAAAACCCTGCCTGGAATCTCTGGAGACTTCCTTCCTTGCCCCAGGCTACGATCAGGGCACAGACTCAAGAGTAGAATTCTGGAGGCCAGAGTCCATTGGAGTGTGGGCAGGGTTGTGCATCCTTGGAAGCTCTGGGGTCCAGGCACGCCTGTTTCCTCGCTTCTTATTGGCTTGTGGCTGATTCAAGCTCTGCCTTCTCTCCCCGTGACTACATCCACAAGCCCCTTTCCTTTCTCCACCCTAACTGGGTGAGATCTCATCTAATTTGATTATGTGTGCAAAGACCCCATTTCCAATGAAGTCACAGGTACCAGGGGGTGAGCACTTGAACATACCTATTGGAGGACACAATTCAACCTCAATCCTGAGGGTCACAGGACACACTGAACCTAGAACCTGACTACCCTCTGCCTTCCTAGGCATGGGATCAGTGGACCAAAGTCACAGCAGCAGGATTCCTGCTGGTCTAGGAGCCTGCCTGCTCTCCTTTCAGGGTTCATCTCCCAGGCATACAGGATGGAGTAAGACCAGGGTGTCTCTACTACCCAGACACCCTACAGCAGCATCTGCTCACGGCGAGAGGAAGGAGCACCTGACTAACAGAGGGGCCACAGCTGGCCTGGGAGCACCAGTGGTCCCTTCCAGAGAGTTTCTGGTACATGGCCACTTGCCTGCAGAAGCTGGGGGCACAGCAGAACAGCACAGTGACACACAGCCTCAGCACCATGCTGTGCTGGCAACACTGGGTTGCCTTGGTTGGCAGGTGGAGAAGCCCTCTGAGGTCTCTCTGGGGATCTCATTAGCCTCACCCTTGGCAAATGCTGGCAGGTTCCAAAAGTAGCCATGACTTTAAGAACCAGGTAGAGCTTGCAGTCCTCACATTAGCCCACCACTTGGTTTAGGATCCTCTGTTTGGGGTCTGTAGCTCATGGTCAAGGCCACTTTTCCTTCAAGCCCCAGTGGCAGTGCCACCTCCCTCAGGAAGCTTTCTTTGACACCCTCTCCTGGGGATGGGTGAGAGCCTTTGGTTTCCATCTCATCACTCTTACCCTGCTGTGTTAACATGCAGTTCTATGTCTACATTGGACTCCTTTGCAGGACTGTGACCTACTCAAGGGCTGGGCCTGGTTGGTTGTCCCTGGCCTCTGATAGGCCTGGCACACTGTACATTTAGGAAAAGATGGACAAGGGAATGAGTGTACCTGCACAGGTCCTGAACCTGCTGCTCTTGGGTCACCCAAGGGGCTGAGCAGTGAGAGACAGGAACAGACAGAAAGGAGGCCAGAGAGAGCAAGGGTGGTGAGACGCAGCCAGGGAGCCCTTGGCAGAGAAACTCTGCTTGGCAGCCCAGTAGAGCAGCTGCTGTGAGTGGCCGTGGGAGGATGAAGTTCCAAGGCCACAGGAGAGACAGGCAAAGGCCAGCCAGAGCCACTGCTTTGCACAGTGAACACCTGTGCTGGGTACAACTGGGACCTCGCTAAAATTAGTGCTGGGGTGTGGGGTACAGAACTGTGCCACATAGGTTCCATGGGGCCAGCAGGGGCCTCAGGTCAGAGCCCAAGTAGAGCATGGCTGAGGACCCTGAAAGGGGAAGGAAAGGCATGCCTGCCCCAACAAGCAAGCCCTGGCAGGATGTCCTGTGGTCCCTTGAGCCTTCCTTCTGCGGCTGCCCAGGACTAGGAGAGGCTGGACTGACTTTTGTCACTGCCACCGTGGGGCCACACTGACCCTGCCCTTATCTCCTGAGAGGAGACAAGGAGTGGGGGTGCAGCCCTCTCAGACCAGAGGACAGGACTACTCTGAGCCTCTAAGCTCTGTCTAGGTGCCCAGCCTGTACTGACCCACGATGTTCCCTGCCTGGTAGTTTCTGCTCTTTTTTTGGTTCTTCTTAATGCCTCTGGGAGAATAAGAGCTGGGAACTTCCTTCTCTGCCATTTTGCTGACATCACTCCCGTATTTCTGACACTGTGCTTTACTCTGTCTTCCATTAATGTTGTTTCCAGGTCTCCAAATTAGTTTTCAATTTGGTTGGTCTTGTCTCTTTCCTCTAGAAGGGTATAACATCTGGTGGCCACTCTATGTTTCTTGAATTTTAAAGAGGCTTTGCAAATGAAAACACCAACAAGGTTAGAAAGTCCAGTCTTGACAGCAGTGAGAGAGATCTGGGGCGGGTCTGAGGACCTTGCTGTCCACAGAGACTACAAAGAATGCTGGGGACTCTCTGCTCAGAACCAAACCAGGGCAGGGCTCAGTGAAGGTGAGGAATGGTTCAAACCTGTGACATTCGCAGACCCTGGTAATGTATTTCCCATCAACACCAGGGGACGTGCATGGGACTGCAGTGATGGACAGGCTGTGGTCATTTTGTCAGCCATCCTGGGGACTAATACAATTTTCACATCTATGGGAGGCTCTCACTGGATCCTTTATCCTGTTACTTTTCTATGGCTAATTTTGATACTAACGCTGCACTGTCTTGATTACTGTTGCCTTATAAAAAGTCTAAAGTCAGGTAGTGTGAATCCTCTAGCTTGGTTCTTCTAAGTTCTTTTGCCTGTGCCAGGTCCTTGGTGTTCCAAAAAACAGTTTTAGGATCAAAAACCTGCCTGGGATGGTGTTGAACTCATAGCTGGCCAGAATCGATAGCAATAGTCTCCTGACCCACAAGGAGCACTTCCTTTGAATCTTTGTTGCTGTATCACAGCAGTGCCTTGTAGCTTTCAGTATCTAGGTTTCATGTATCTTTTTTCAAATTTACCCTTCTTATTTAACCTTTTTTGATGCAACTATAAATAGGATTACTCATTTATTTATTTAGCGGTACTGGGCTTTGAACTCAGGGCCTTGAGTTTGCTAGGCAGGTGCTCTACCACTTGAGTGACTCCCTTAGCCCTTTTTTACTTTATTTTTTTGATAGGGTCTTGCATATTTGCCTGGGGTCAGCTTAGACCACAATCTTCCTACCTACTGCCTTCTCATGGCTGGGATTACAGATGAGTTCCATACACCCAGCTAGTTTGTTGAGGTAGGGTCTTGCTAACTTTTGCCCAGATTCACCTCGAACCATGATCCTCCTGATCTAAGTCTCCCAAGTACATGGGATTCACAGGCATGAACCACCACACCCAGTTCAATAGGGACGTCCCAGGCAGGGTCTGGCTTTTCATTACTTGCAGCATGTGGAGTTGAGCCAGCTGGCTGGTCATACTCTTGACCTCCAAGGCTGCTGGAACCCCTCCCTTCAGCAGAAGCCTGAGGTCTGCCGCAGACGATGGGCAAGAATGAACTCTGACAACCGAGTCTGCAGGCAATAACAAACTTGGGTGCAGGGGCCAGGAGATGATGTAATGAAAGTGTTACTATACTCCCAAAACACACCAGCCAGGCATTTCAGCCCTTGTAGAGGCCACCTCAGCAGACAGTATTTCTGTGTCTGCTCTCACGCTTGGCCTGGCAGTGTGAAGCCTAGATCTGCCTTTGCGGCCTGGAGCACATTCTTTGGACACTGCCAGGGTAGCAAATGTCTGTCCTGAGGGAGGATTGGATTCTTTGAAGCAACCAAAATCATTTGGAGCTAAGTCCAGGGAGCAAAGTATGGGATCTCAGGGTAAGAACCTGGAGTTGATAAAAAATAGGAGGTAGATAGCAATTTTACACAGGCTTGGGAGGAAGGAAAGGGAACGGTGAGGAAAGGGGGTTCCAAAATTCTGAGCAGAATCCACAAGGTCCCATAGTGTCTGGTAACAGGTCTGCCTGTCTCACTGTGGGCAGCGAGGCTTCCAGCTAGGAAGGGCTCTGTAAACAGAAGCTCCACCAAGACAGGGCAGTTTCTGGGTTCACTGCTATGTCTCAAGTATTGAGAAGTAAGCCTGGCACATAGCAGCCCCTCAATAATGGTTGTTGAATGAATTCATGAACACAAGAAGACATGCAGTGTCCAACTGATGTGCAGTTCAAAAGCAGGCACTACTGAGCTCTGCTGGTTACGGATGCAAAGCAGCTACCTGTGGGAGTTTGCAGGAGGTTGGGACCTGGGAGCATTTGCTTGATAAGGTAATAATGAGATTAAAAAGCTCTGCATTTATGCTTGGGTACTTCTCTGTATAGGTGATGTATTTCATAATGAAGAGTTTTTTTTAAAAATCCTTTTTTGTTTTTAAAAAACTTTAGTCATGACTACAGCTGCTATCTGCCTGAGGGAGTATGGTAGGCAAGGGCAGCATGGAGCTGCCTGCAGTGTAGGGGTGGCTCTCCCAGCAGGAAGCAAACTCAGGGGTTCCTTCTGATCTGAACCTCAAGCCAGGCAGCACTTAGAAAGTTTGGGAAAGAAATCCAGATGCTGGTGGCCTAGGAAGAGAGCACAGGGTGAAGAAAAGTACTGCAAAACCAGCTCCTTGGAGGCAGACTGAAGTGGAGGCTAGAAAGACAAGGCACTGAGAACTGGCTGCATAAAACCAGTGCACAGTGCCTCATGCTGGTGACTCTCTCCCTGTGCCTGAGAGTACCTCCTGGGCCCAGGGACAGCCCTGGTCTTGGGTACTTTCCTTTCCTAAAGAGGAGATACCTTAGGTCTCCCTAAAGGTGAACTGACTGTACCTGGGCCCATTTTGGTCAACATCCAATTCCACCACACAGTACTCTCACCTTCCCAGACGGCTCAGCTCCTGAAAATTGGTAGTGAACTTCAGACAACAGAACCTTTGCTCCTGCTGGACCCACCAGCATCTGTGGTGACCAAATGCATCATGCAAGGACTTCCTTGGGGGTGGGGGATGCCAGCTTCTATGTGCTGGCATCTGGAGGCTGCTGCTTTCTCCCAGCAACAGCCACTGTGACTGCTGAGAAAGGCTGTGTGCACCCCCACCCCCAACTGTGCCCTCAGGTTTAGAGGTTGGCACCACACTGCTAAGTGGCTGCCTTGGAGTTCGTAACG